CTTAACTGAAAACTTTTGATATAATTTATTCATGAATAATTTTATATGATCTTGACATTGAACTAAAAGTAAAATTGTAAAATGTAAAAATTTTATGAGAGAAGTTCAAAAATTAAATTATAACTGTAAGAACTGAAAGGATTTTAATGTTTCTTTGTATATTTTGTTTATTGTAAATTAAAGTATTAATTATATTTAATTAGAGTTCTTAGCGTAAAGTAAAAATTAATTATTATTTAATATGAAACTGGTAGTAATGTTTAGAATGTAATAAAACTGCAATGACATATTTTAAAAGTAAATTCTAATATTATAACAAGAAAACTTCATTTTTTTGTATAGGTTTCTTTTTAGAAAATTCTTAAACTTCATTTTATATTTTTATTTTTAAAGTATTTCTTCCTATACTTATCCAAAATTAGATTATTATAAAAGTTACAGCAGTTGTCCAAACTGTAATCCATCTTTGTTCAAAGGATCGAAGAATCATTGAATGATGAGCACGCTCAAAAAACATATATCACTGAATGGAGACCTCATATAGAATCTAAGCGCGATAGGACAAATTATTTGCTCGAATTTTTTTTTCTTATTTTGATACAGGAGATTCAACTGTAAAATTTATCGATAAAGTATTTCTTTCTATATTATTGTAATAAAAAAATGCATAATAATTTTATAATTTCTTAGTTATTAACAACAAATTTCAAGTTAGAGTCAGAAAAAAACCGAATAATGCAGTATTCTATCTTAAAATCTGTTGTTAATAATTATTATGAAATTTTAAAATTATTGTGTATATTTTATTAAAAATAATATAGAAAGTCATATAAATTAACACGTAAAAATGCTAAAACATATTGAAATTTAGTAATAACTGTACACAATTCTTATCGTCTTATATAGGAAGAAACAATAAATCAACTTTTCATTCAAAACATATATAGATCAACATCACGTTTACTACTTACAACTATTTATCGTCTACCTCTATTTTAATATAACGATATTTCATTTCAAGTATTCACCATTTCGAATTAAAATTATTTTTTAAATATTATTTTTTACCAGCTTTTTTTTTGTAAACTGTATAAAACCCATGTTACACTGTTTCTGTCTTTAGAAAAAGGATTTATTTAAATATATGATACAGGAATTACTAGCTTCATTAATGTGTGCATCTCGTGTGCAATCCGCAGATCTGCTTACAATAATCCCTNTTGATATGATTTATCATCATAAAACTCGGAATATATAAGTGTTATTCAAATTCTTCTTTAATTTTTAGAAAACTATATAAATTAATATTACGGAGGATGTCAATCTCAATATATTTAAAGTATCATTTTTGATTCTATTGCATTCTATTTATCATTAAAGAATCGGTAAACATAAGCTTTAATAACTTTATTCGATGAAAATTCATTTCGACCTCTACAGATTGAAGTGGACTGTATGAAATGCATTCTGATTAAATAATGTTATTAAAGTTACATTCTATCTATTCGTTCAGGATAAATAGGATAGAATATTATCAAAAACTTACTTTATACTTTAAAGGTTCCATTTTTTTTTAATGAAGAATTCCTAAAATGCTATGCTTCGTTTTAACATATCTTTAAATGCAATAGTGCTACTTTGGAAAAAATTGAAATATTAAGTGGCTTATGATTAAATATATAAATTATTAAAAAAATAAGTTTATAATTAATATATTATTAATAATTAATTTGAGGATAGAGCAAGGAAATATATAAGAAAAATAATAATCATTATGGAATACAAAAAATACAGTTTAAAAGTAGAATATTTTATGCTTTGTATTTATTTATAATCGCTAAATTAAGAATAATTTTTAATTGTTACTTAAAGATTTTTTAAATCTATTTTACAATATTTAATTCAAATTTTAAATAAATATTTTCTCTCATTTTACAGTAACAAGTTTCAGAATATTTTCATAATTTTCTTCATTATCTGTGTTTATTTATTTCGGTTCTCTCGATTGACAAAATTTTTCTTATGCGAAAACGGATGAAAGATTGACGCTAATAGATCCAAAGCTTTCATCTTCTATGCAGTGAATATATTTAGAAAAGAAGAAAGTAATATATATAAAAAAAATATCATCTATGCTACGTATATTTGCAGATATCGCAACAAAAGCTCTATTTTCGACTATCCAGTGTTATCAATTGGCATTTACTATTGGAAGGATTTAGCGATATTTTCCACTTTATTTGAATTTCTCTCAAAAAGTTGATCTTTCATCTTCTAGCTTCTTGTCTGATCGATTCGAATAAAAAAAATTCGTAAGAAAAATTTCACTATTGTGAGTAAGTAGGTTGAAATCAATTTTTAAATATGAGGGACAGTCACATTTTCCAACGTTAAAAAGATTTTTTTTTCGTTTAAAAATATTTATCTAATGCATCGAGATGAAAAAAGTATTGTTAAAAAGAAAGTAAATTTACTTTCTTTTTAACAATACTTTTATATTTAAAACAATTCGAATTTTTATATTTAAAACAATTCGAGAAATGGGCTTTAGGAAACTCCCAACAATTTTATAAAATGAATGAAACAATGTGCACAATATTTAAATGCACTCGTAAACTTTTCTCAAAATATTTTAATGTCAGAAAATAAGGAATTCTGAGGAAATTTTTATTTATGTCTTTAAAGGACAGTAATATTGTAGAGTATATTATTACGTCTAAAAATAAATTCTTTCGTTTATGTCCGTATTCCTATTAATGTAGGATGAATAATATGTTAAGTTAAAATAGTTTGACTTAAGCTTGATCAGTTAAAATGTAGAAGAAAACATTGAACATTTTTCATATGGTAGTAAAATAACTTTATTCAATTTAATTTCTTTTGGAATAGAAAATTAAGTTTAATTTAATAAATAAAATTGAAACTATTGTAGAATTAAAGGTAACTACTCGGTAAAGAACAATACGATGTAAATTATTATATAATTTTTCAATTAATTGTTAAAAATATTCTAAAAATAATTCCTTACTTCGAATATAAACAAACATGATTGTATCGATCGATAATTAATATTAGAGGAGCAAGAAGAGCAAGACGATCAAGACAATTTAAAGCGTTTTTGTTTTTCTACAATATAAAATAATAAATATACTGTAAAAATTTTATCCGGTACATAAAATATCATTCATTACCGTTATCTCTGATAACAGTATCATATATCATGTGATTTATTTTGTATTCTAAAACAAAATCCGAACATAGATATCGTAAAACAGAATTTTGATCAAAGTTATTTTTCAACTATGAATACAGTAGAATCAATGGCGTTATAAATCATATTTTGTTTGCTTACAAAATAATATTATCCTAAATAAAAGAAAATATGTAGTTTAAGGTTATTTAAATAACACAAGCTAATAATATATATCATAATACATAAATAATTCTAACAACGTTATATTCTTAAATTTTAAGAAACTATTTATAGTACATTAAAATTAAATTTACGATGAAGGAAGGAGTGTTCTTAAATGCAATTAATTAATTACTATTTAGAGAACCGTATTAACAAATTTACTTCCAGATATCTCGGCTTTCCTCTAAGACAATATCTGTTGAAATCTATAAATAGATTAATCAGCAACATTCCTGTATAGGATCAAGACGTCATTGCTTTATTAATAATAATATATCTTCATATTGTTCTTAGCCAAAATTACAAAGAGAGTCATCCGTTATATAAACATCGATTTAATTTAACTATACTTAATTAGTTAAGTAGAAAACTAAATTTTAAATGAAATACAATACTTTAGATTAAAATTTGATTAATTTGCATTGAAATTATTCAATATTTTTTGATGAATTTTCTGAATTGTATCCATGTCAATATATTTATTCACTTTTGTTTTTACTTTAAAACTTTTAATTTGAATAAAATAAACATTATAATACATTTTTTAAAAATGGAATAATACTTTCTAAAACTTTGCCTCTAATTAAAATAATTTCTTTGAATTAATATCCATAAAAACATTAAAGGCATTTAACTTATAATATGCCGAAAGAAACATATGCATTATGTACTTAAGATATTAGAATTTAGGTAAATACAAATCATATTAATGTTATATATAATTATAATAAAATTTGTATGAAAATATATCTTTTTATATAGATTTCAACTAGATAAATTTTGAATTTATATACCTGATTTAAACATTATATAGTAAACTTTTTTTATTATGAACGTTTATATTTCTTTATCTTGGATTAAAAACAGTAACATATTCTCTACAAATCTCTTCTAAATCGTAATTTTTTTTAGACAGAAAGTATTTTTCTTTACTACAGTTTCTACAATGCTCATTCATTTAGCACGTTGATAACAGAACATTTATAATAAATGTCATTAAAATAATATATGCCATAATGTATAATGGAGATTTATTGGTTTGATACTTAACATCTCTTTAAATCTCCGTATTTTTCCGTTGTATATTTACTTTATAGTTTGAAAAATTGAGATTATCGCAGTAGAATCGGAGAAATATATTATTATTATTTTTTTTATTTTAGTTGTAAAAAGAATTTGTTATTTTTACATTGACAAAGAAATAACTTGATTATATAAATTTTTAGTTTAAAATTATTCTCTGCGTACTGTACTTAAAATTTCGTAAAATTTTATTTAAAAATGTCTTTATTTAATATGCATTAAATTTGAAATTAAATAAAATAATTTAAATATTTTAATGGTAAATGTATCAGAACAAAATATAGTATTCGAATAATTAAACATTAATAATTATTTTTTTAAATTGAAGTTTTGTTTCTTATATTATTATTTTGTAAATTAGATTTATTTTTCAAAAAAAAATAATTAATATTAAGTACTATTACTAAGTAATTTACTGTAGAGAATTTAATTTTTAAACTTAAAAAAAATTTTTTTTAAATTATTAAGTATAGTACATTTAATGTTTGACATTTTCTTACAGTTATGGGTACAGGAGCAGCATCGACAGCAACCACACCCGCTTCTCAAGACTGGATTGGCACAGCCCCTCCCGGTGCCACCGAGGGTACCAATTTACATTATGTCCTTTATTCTGGTCAATGTGTACATAAAATTGGTATTTACGGTTGGAGGAAACGTTGTCTTTACCTGTTGGTTGTTCTATTGATGGCCATGGTTATTATCAATGTAGCCTTAACTATTTGGATTGTTAGAGTCATGGATTTTTCTACTGTGAGTATAATAATAATTTTCTTTCAATCAATATTATCATTTTAAAACTACAGAAAAAAAACAAACAAATACGATATCAATAATTTCAAGTTTATTTTATAAGATACGTTGACATACAAAATTTAACGTGGTATTTACAAATTATTAAATCTTTTACATGAATTTTTCACAATAAAATTCCATTAAGCTCATTTTGGGTGTATTTCGATAAATTTTCCTATTAAGCACATTATAAAGTTATTCACGCAGACAACACATTTTTACTTTAACTTTTTGTTGATAACCTCGCTATAATCTGCTAAGCCATCCTAGTACATGCAAAGGCTAGAAGCTGAGGTTTCACACATAGCTGCTGCTGGATGCTTCGATCGCCTACCGAGAAAATTAATGATACGTCTTCTAGTTTTAACATCCATTGTGTCCTGGAGACGTTCATCGTATCGACAGTTTCTCTGTAAAGTCATTTATCTCGTCCGAGCATGCCCAAATGCACCTTCGAATATTTCCCACGCAGGTGTCGTCAGGTTAATTAGAACAGCGAATGAATAACAATCAATTAATTATCTTCGTGTGTTTTTCATTTGCTACATATTTTTACATGAATAGCTTGAAAGTTCTTAAAAAGAGGATATTGCAATTATAATAAAATCGACTATTTTTATTTATTTTTCTTTATTTTTTCATTCTTTCTAAGATTTTAATAATATAAACATAATAATTGGAAGTGCATTCAACATTTTTTTTTTACAAGAAAATAAAGTTAAATAGAAAAAGAAATCACTATAAACTATTCGATAGTATTGATTTATGAAATATTTCATAAAGATTTTTGTCATTAAAATTCACAGCTCACGTTCTGTTATCTTTAATAAATGAGAAGAAATTAACATTAACATTTGTTCAGTTAATGAAATTTTATCAAATCGCTGGTGAAATATAAAATATTTTAAGGAAATGAATCATAGATACAGGTTATAAATCTTTATTCCCGAGAATCAATTGAATGAAAGTAAATATACATTAATGCAGTTATTTTAAAACTAAAATAAAATATGTAGCTTAAGTGATTTATTATAAATTGATAGCCTAATGTCATTTGCAAATATATTTTCTATTCATTAACAAATTATATTTAACAAAGTTTATTCTTCATTAGAAGTTAATCATATTTTCAACAGTATAGAATTATCTTAAATTTTAGAGTATATAATTATCTATAATGCAAGGAATCATCCTGTTTACACGGTACACAAAGATGAATTAATTCTTATTTATTTAGAGAATAAGGTGAAAATGACTGAAAATGATCATATTTAATTTCGAAAATATACAAAATTAATATATAATCATTAGCTAGAGTTTAACATCCGTTGGTGTTCATTTCTTCTTTATAATTCATCTTTACGTATAGTTTTGCAAGATGGCTGAGTTATTGTAATTCAGTTTCACACCATTCTTCTATATCATTAAGTCACACGCTAAAACAGAAATTAAATACGTACATTATAATATAGCCTATATATTTATTTTATTTTTGTAATTTTAATGATATAGACTTAATTAATTTTAGTAAAATCAAATAACATACACAAGGTAGTTATATTTTATTATTATTTTATTGCTATGATATGCTTATATTTATTTCTAAATAAATTTCATTCTTTGTTATATTTTCTTCTTGCTTTTAGTATACCTTTGCTTGCAACTTTATGTTCAACAAAAATAAATAAATAAAAGAAAATATAGAAAATATGTTTTCACTAAAAGCGCATCAACTAATACTGTACAATACTGCAGAAATTGTTCCTTCAGCTAAATGCATAAGATAGACCTATGAGAGTTGTTTCTAAAATTTAGCATTATCCATTGACTTTAATGGAATCGCTAATGGTATTGGCAATATTATGTTTTTGAATCAAACGGGAAAATAATAATCCTTTAAGAATCTTATCTGATCAGAAAAGACCGTTGAATAAATAAGAATATGAGAAACAGAACATTAGCTATAATCAAATGGTTTTACAGAAAGAGTTTCCTTAAAAATTTTTATTTAATTTAAGTGTTATTTGTTTTTGATGAAAAAACTTTATAAATACTTTTTGACTTTTCTAAATCACAAAAATTTTAAAGAATGGAAAGCAAAGAACAGTTAACAAATTCAGCAAATTCATTAAATTCTGTACAAAATTATAAACAAAATACTATAATTTTTTTTAAATATATAAAAAATATATACTTATAATTTATTAATTAACTAATTTTATAAACAATAGACTTTGATTTTAAATGCTTTAAAAATGTTTTTATATTACTTGTATTCATTAAGAAAAAGCATGCTAAATACCAATGTTTAATGATATCATCATTAATTTTTTAAATAAATGATGATGCCATTGACATTTTAAGAGGACTTACCGAACAGAGATTGAATTAATTTCATGTCTTATGTTCATTTAGTGCTTCTATTTGTCTAATTTAATAGTGACAACGTGTTTTTATTTTCATTTATTCTTTCTAAATGTTTAACACGATTCATAATTGATCAGTTCATATTAATATTTTAATGTGAAAAAATACAATATACAACTTTGATATAGGCCATTCTGCTTAACAAAAAAAAAGAAAGAAAGAAATTTCAACTAGAAAAAATATTGAAAATAAATTCCTATTTTTTATATGGCACTATTCCAGATTTTTTGAAAAATTCAACTCTGTTGCTAGAAGATAGTTTATTGGTTCGAATTCGTTTTTCCATCTGTAGAAAAAAAATATCTTAACCTAGTATATATGTGTACTATAGACCTAAGCTGGAATTTACAAAATCGAAATAAACCCAAATACAAGTAAAAACATATCTTCTGCATTATTTATAAACTTATTGCTTATTAAATATTGAATATTTATATTTAATATATAATCTCTTCAATACTCAACGATGCTACAAATTTGTATTATTAGATTGTCAGATCTCTTTGTTTCATTTCAGCTTTGAAAATAATATAACGAGATATTTTTATTGAATTTTATTTTATTTTATTGTTATATATAATAAAATTTCATAAAAGATATAAAATTTGTGAATATATTTAATAAATTCCCGTAAATTATATAAATTTTACTTGATGTTCATCATTGAAAGAATGAAATTCTACTTATAAACCCTTAGAGATTCACTATCGAAATCAGCATTTAAAAATTTAAATAAACGTATCTGATTATTACTATAAGATATCTGATAAAAAGGTCTTTTTATCGTATAATTTTTGTACAAATGCGATTATTACGAATAGTTATTTTTAAAATTTGAATGTCCTAGTAAATTTAATAACTATGGCTTTCATATAATTAAAGAAAAAATTCCGTTAGAAATGGTTGAGAAAATTCTAATCTTCTAAAGAAAGACATCACTCGATATAGAAAATGAGCAGAGATAAATCTGATGGTTGCTAAATTGCGTGATTAATGCTGAAAGTAAATAGCCGAGTAAAATACAATTGTAGAAAAGAGAAGGAAAAATTATACCCTTCTACAAAAGGAAAATCAATTTTATTTTTTTTTCTATAATAAAATTAGTCTTACTAAAAATTTAAATTTATTTGATAGGCTAAAATATTTTAGAAATTTATATTAATAATTTCTAGAATCTTTTAGCCCATAAAATAAAATTTAATTAAATTCTTATTTAAATTTTTATAGTAAGGAAATAGGTATTTAAATCTTTCAGAAAATAAGTTCTATTGGAAATTCATTTTTTTTTAGATTCGTTGTTATAATATTAAATATTTTGAATATTGTGTAATTAGATATAAATAAAATTTATATTTATATTTATACAAATTTATATGTTTCAAGGATGGAATGGGCCGATTGAAAATTCTACAAAAGGGTATAAAATTAGATGGAGAAACACATTTTTTACAATCTCTCTATGCAACAGAAATTCGTTCCAGGAAAGTAAGTTGGTAATTATATTTTTGTCATATAAAATATATTTTTTAAACATAATAAAAAATATTTTTAAGCTTGAATAAAATCTATTAATTATAAATTTGATAAACTAAATCAGAATCATAAATTAGGTTTAGAATTTAAGGTTAATTTTTGATCATAAAGATTAAATAAATGTTAGTTTAAATGTTCATTAATTAATTATTACGTGTAGTAAATATGATAAAGATTTAAAAAAAAAAGAAAATTTAGTTAATGGATATTTTTATTTTAAACATTTGTCTTTTAAATCACAAAAGGTTTATTATTTATTGAGGCTTTTAAACTATCTTTTGCAAACAGTGTCGACTTAATTAAATTTTCTTAAATAATTTTAGCTGAAAATAATTTATATAAGACATATTTTAAATATTTTTATAAACATTTTTTAAATGTTATAATTAAATTTTTATTTAAAAATTACGGGATCGTGGTTTTAAAACTTATTTTTGTTTGGCTTATTTTAGTTTTTTTAATTCTTAAAAAAGAATTTCATACTTTTCGCTTTCCGTTTAAAACGTAAAATGTTCAAATACACTATTCAGTAAAAATTAAAATCAGAGAAATATTTCATGTATAATTTATAATTTTACAATTTTTTACATGAAAATTTACATAGGCAAAAAATTTCTGTGAATAAAAAGTATTAAAAATTCATCGATATAGTAAGATAAGTACAGTTTATCTTTTCGGAATAAGCTTTCAATACTTATTGAAAGTTCTAGAGCAGATATTTAAGAATCACTAAACGAAATTAAATAGTCCCTATCGTAAATGGATCAAAAAGTTCTCCATCACATTTCCCAATCTATATTTGAACATATGATGCGGTTTTTGTTCGGTTATATATAACTCATCCAGGTGATAGTACAACAGACATTATATTTACCGTGTATCCAAGCTATTCTATTGAGTGCCATCACTGCAGTGAGCAGGGAAATGATTCAGATGGATGACAATCTTCTCATACATTTATCATACCTGTCACAGTGGATAAAGCGGGAGATATAGACGTGGATATCTGTAAGGTCTGCTAACTGACCATCCATCTACTTTGAAAACCTGATGCAATGTTTAAGAAAAAGAGTTGTGATCATTTTTGTAAGACTAGATTGGATATAGCAACGCTATGGACTCTAGTGAAATTCAATTATCTGAGAGTATGCGCTTGCTACTCGAAAAGTTTTGATCAAACAAAAGATGATGCCATCACTTATTTCAATTTCGAAAATATTTATGGCGTATATTTGCTTAAATCTACTGAAATTTTTATAATGCTTACGGTTTCATAAAGCTTTATGTATGTATGTATATATATATATATATATCCCTTAATTAAGAATTCACCGTTTATTACCGTGAATATAAATAAAAATAAAATAATGTTTAGCAAGTAAAATTTCCTTGTAAAATTCATACATCTAGATTATAGAACTCTTCACGCATTTAGGAAATAATTACACCAGGCTAATTTCCTGGAATTATAACGTCGTTGGATAGATTAATAGAAACATTATAACAATTAGACGCTTTATATTAATTGTATTATGTTCCAAACTAGAATAAAGTACTTTCATTCTACTCTATTACTTAAATTAAAACGACGGTAAATAACACTTTAACAGTAATTGCTTCATTTAAACTTTCTTATAATTACTAACATCCAGATAAGTATCTTCAATCTCTCAGAAAATCGTTCATTTTTAAGCATAGAATTGAATTATCTAAGCGATATACGTTTTAAAAAAAGTATATTTATGCAGAAAAGAAAATAAAGTTGTTAAATTCTCTAACTTAATCACATTCGGAGTGAACTAAATAATAATAAAATCGTCTCTTGCTTGTAAATATTATGCAATAAAAACGGAAATAATTCTTTTATAGAGTCATTCGAGCTTGTCACGGTCAACACAATCAATTTACATATTATATTGTTTCCTTCTTTCTTTCTTCTACTTTATAACATAAATTTCGAAAAAAAATATCGATAATTTTGGCGGAAATTTTTAATAAATTATTATTCACTGAGCAATTTATCGATCTGTAGTAGAGAATCATTATCCTGATCTTTTTGTTCTTACCTATCATTATAGAAATAAGGTGCTACGTTAATTAAAAGAGGTACTTTTAATATCCTGTTAAACATTCCACCGGTGTACATTCAATTACTCTTTCGGCTGTGTACATATAACGACGTAACAGCTTTCTCTGTGCTAATTACGTCACCCGTTAATGACGTTAATAGTTTGTGTTTACAAAACACGACCGTGTAAAAGTGGTAGTTATCGTTGTGCATCTGTCCAATTATAGACGGTTACCCTGAACAAGTAGACCCTATATCACTTTCGTCTTAACTTTTTTATAAATCGTTTTCCATTTGTGGTTTTTTCTAATCGTGTGAACTGCTAGGTATGTTCGACACGTTCCACACATTGCCGTCTATACTTTCAGCTTAACCAATATGTATTTGAAGCAGTTCATTAACCTTTTACAGATTTTCTAATAAGTCTCTATCTTAATATTAAAAATTTTAATTACGTTCAGAATTGTCGGAATAGCCAACCGAATTTTTAAAATTCAACAACTTATTTAATAATAATAATAATAATAAAAAAAGACGTGCCAAGTAAAAACTCTTGACGTCACTATCACTTAATAATTTTCCGAAATTGCAATCAACGACGTGACATCAAAAGTTTATCTTTTTTCAAAACTAAAGAAAGAAAAAAAGGGGGAATACTTGATGAAAAAATCACCTTGACTTAATTAATGACCTTCGGGAAATCAGGACATTAACGTTCAACAGTTCATACAATGTTAGGGAAGAAAATTAATATATATATATATATATTTTTTTTTAATCTTCATCTTGATGGCTTCAATAGAGGAGCATGTTGTTAAGGTGTCAAGTAGATGTTTAACGCTTTCTTCCAACCTACTTCAAATTACAAGTTAAATGTAAATTCTTATCCTTGTTACTCTTTTGTCTTTCACACGATTGAACAATTTTTTTTTATTAAAAGAAAATAATAAATGTTCTTTAGTAGCAAAATTTTTATCAAGGAAACGGTAATAAAATAAAATTGTATATAATTTATTTAAAAAAATTAATACAGAGTGTAATATAATGAGATATTATTATCTTTTGTTTTTAAATAGGAACAACCATTAAAAATCGAATCTTATCGAAATATTACTTTAAATGCAAGAAATAAAGATGGAATCATCACGAATAGGTTATTTGTAGGTGAGTTATTTTAACAGAATTTCAAATTTTTAAATCTTAGCTATGATTATTTTTATTTATAACAAATTTTAGAGTTACCAATTATTAAATTACTCGTGCAAAACTTGATGTGAAAGTCATGTAACGTGTCTAGTACACCTGCAATGAGAAATGGAGTTTAAATAAATGACATAGAATCGTTGAAAATTGCTATTGCTGAAATGTAGCCAGCATGAATCGTATACTTACAATGATTTAACTCTCTCATAAATATCTTGCTTACAATAATAGAAATTGGTATATTTATAAGCCGAAAGGTAAACAATTCTTATTGATACTAGGAAAAAATGTTCGATTAATTTGCCTAGGAATTTTTCAAATATAATCTTTTTAGGGAATAGTTTTACAGTATAATTTTCAACCGATATACTGGAATTTCGTTACAGTATTAAAAACTTAAAGGATAATACTAAAAAATAAGTTAAAAAAAAATTCATGTGAAAATAAGTCAGCCATGTTTTAGCTTCGGGACATCACACTTGTATGTTGAAAGTGCAATCAATCAAATGTCGCGATCAGGATTTACTCCGTCAACTACGAAATTAAACGGTCAAATTTCCCACATCACGTGGTACGGATTCTTTAAGAGAGGAAAGAAAAGGGAAGGGATAATTTATTTTACTGCGTTCGGGCAACCAATTCCGGAACTGTTCTTGGCGGAAATGAGTTCCAGAAGCGAAAGAGGAAAAAAAAATCTAAGAAAGAGAAAAGGGACGAGAAAAATGATTGAAGACCTACAAGCTGTAAGTTTGGACGCTTGTGTACAACTGAAACACGTCGTTGTCTGCAGGTATTCATTTCCTGAGCTTCAATGTTTTCGAAGCCAATCGATTTATAGACAAAAACAGGAAATTATAAAATTCGCGTGCCCACGGGATATAGAAAAAGAGATGAGTTTTGCCAATTTATTCAATGAAAATTATTATTTATCGTAATCTATGTTGTCCAGCTTAAAAAAACATCTTACAATATATAATAGTACATAATTATATTAGTTTAAAGATTATAATAAATCGATGTTTTAAACTTTTTTATTGGCATATTTTTTTAAAATTTTGATGATAGACAATATTAAAATTTCTATAAAACTTGGTTATCAATTTTGATGAAGATTAATTAGTTAATAGTTTTATTGAATTAATTTTTATTAAAATCAAATATTTATTAATATCATAAAAAATGTGTCATAAAGATTTGAAAAATAAAACTAATGAATATGGAATAAAATTGTAATCTTTTTCTCTTGTGTAATATGGGAAAAAATATTCTAAATAAAATTTTCTTGTAATAGATATAATAAAATGATTATTCTCAAATTATTAATACTTATTATTACAAAAAAAAAACTTTTATTTGTATTTTTTCCCTTTTTTTCAGGAGAATCTTTAGTAGATGCTATTGCTGAAAAATTTATTGTAAAAAACAGGAACGGTCAGATTTTGTTTAGTGCGGATGATTCCGACGTTTCTATAGCAACACAAAGGTTAAGAATTACAGGTAACAACCATCCAGATTCATCTCTGTTCCTCCTTTAATATTATCAATATAATTGAAATTAAAGCAACAACCAACTTAATTTTTCTTTTTTTAATTAAAATAATATCATTTAGGCCTACTTAAAATATATATATATTTTTTAAACTTTCGATTATCTGCAATGTAAAAATAATGTCATATTTTCGATCTCTTATTTTCTTACATTAACGGAAAATATATTGACTTTTATATCTAAAATTGTATCTTGGTTTTACAGAAAGATACGTAATAGATCTAAGTTTAGTAAAAATTGTAAAATCGTAACTATTAGGTACATAGGATTTTTGTAGATAAGAACATCCCTGAGAGATGCATTATCGCAGATACAAAAGTAAAGACGACGACTATTTTCGTTCTGTCCATTATTACAGGAATCGGAAGTACAAATCACAGCTATCTGCAAGTGCGCTCGTAACGTTCTGTTGGACTTAATCGGATAAAAGAGAACAATACGTTGGTCATAAAACCTACCTCCCATGTCGTTTGGCCGACTGACTGCTTTCACGTACTTTACGATGCTAGATCGGACCTTTTTATGGGTTTCCGGTAGCCAACGTTCACTCATACTCTTTTTCCTCGTCTTCAATCGTTTCTGTTAACTATACAAAGGCTAATAAACCATATCGAATCTTGTATTTTTCTCTCTTATACGTTGTTATTGTTAAGAAATGTAAACGAATCAGATAAACATATCCTTTGAAATACTAAAATATCATCTTTTTCTGATAAGACTTTCGTTTTTCTATNCGCCCCCTTTCGTTTTCTCTCTCGCTCCTTCGCTCTGTAGGGCAATAACCGTGTGTGAACCAGCCGCCATCCGTATCAGGAAATACCCGAATGGCAGGTCGGATGCCTTAAGAAGGGCAATTTCTTAAGAATGGGGAAAATTTACTGTCCTAATAAACGTCACCTGTAACTAAGCGATAGACTTGGGATGAGTTCTAATTAAATTATCAGTAGTTAGCGTGCCCCGTATACGTTTAATGGGTACTGCACTCTTCGTCTGGGGGGGTTGCAGAATGAATTTAAGTGATGCCTTCTGCACTGTTACGTCACTGATAGAAACGAAATTTAAGCTGGTTTTATATTTCAAAAATGATTTTCAATGTTTGAAACTCGTTAAAGAACAAAAAAATTTCTAATTAGTTTCTGTAATCTTAAATGTAGTTATCAAAAAATAATTTTGATTTAGTACATAAAAAGGACACACAACTTTTAAGTCCGAAACAGCCTCTGGCTCCATCTTAAATTTAGAACTTCTTGGAGCCTGTTTTTGGCATTCAAATTAACGAGTGGAAAGTGCACCGAACATTTTAACATAAAAATGTTATATAAGTGTAGTCTACTTTTCACTCTGTAGTGAATGTTTAATTAATCCATAAAAATGGATTCTCGGAAATTGTTTCCAAACAAATGGTACGCAATCTATTCTTAAAATTATTATTAGAAGCTTTATTAGGTAAGCTAATTCCATTGACTTGATGTTTTTTTATTTAAACCAAAAAAAAATCAAGATAAATTTAACTTTGACAAGTTTTTATGTATTGTTAAGTTTAAAATTTCTTTATTTAATTATTCGATTAATCGCTTTATTACATTTAGGTAAACCAGATCTATTGATTCCTTTATGATTCTAAGATAACACTGTAAATGACTGCTAAAATTAATATTGAATTGATAGCTTTAGTTGCATATAGAAATGAATTAGAACGTTTTAAGAAGATTGTTTGTTTACTAAGTATATTAAAGAATGAATTTACAAAGACGGGCCTAAACACACATCATGAAGTTTTATTAATGTATATAAAAGTACAAACAAGAAGAGATGACAGTCACGGGATGTCAATCACACTAATAGATTTAGCGATGCGCAAGATAACGGGATATTGAGCCGACAGCAATGCTTTCGGTAGAGGATTACAACTGCATATCCGTAGTGCACACAATCATCAAAGTATCTACATGGCGAAAGCTTTCACCAATTCATATGCAAATACATTGGATATCCAATGCGCACGGATCCTACTCAATTAGATCCCATTTAGAGTTAGTGAAGTGTAAAGAACTCTCAGCTCTTTGTAAATATAATGCATGATACAAGTAACTCTTTTTAGAACTTTTATCTTTTTTTATCCTTCTTTTTATTATTGGATTGGTTTTTCCGAAGTTTATTGGAGTGGCAACTTCATTGAAATATTATTCGAGTATAGCTTAGTTGCTTTACTTTTGTATTCATTAATGTTTACATTGATACTATAAACGATTACAGTCTTCGTACTCGACCCAAGTAGATTTGCTTCAAATAAAACGCTAAATAGGATCTATTCTAGCTGTAAAACGACTATTGAACGGTAATGCCATTGCTGCAAGATGAATTTCTTTTGTTTCTATTTTTTACTGTAAAATAAAAATAGAAAAATGAGTATGAAATTGGATTTTTTGGTAAAAATAAACTTATTACTTTCGGATAAAATTTAACTGCATTGTGTTATTTTACTTATATATTGATGTTTACAATAAAATGTTAAAATTTTTTTTGAACAAAGAAATGTACTAATTTTTTCTATTATAATCTCTAATTTATAAATATATATTGAACAATATTTACTTTTAATAATTTTCTTGTGTTTTATTAGGAGTTGGAGGTGTTAGATTCGAAGGGTCCATTCAGACGCCACTAGTTAGAGCAGAACCATATGAGCAATTAAGGTAAACAATAATTAAGTATAAGTTATTTTTATGGAAATATTAATATAAAATATATTATTCTAAAGTCTAACTTTAATCTATTATAATTTAGACATTCTTCGAACAGTTAACCAAATAATCTTCTATATTAGACATAAGTAATCACTTTTCTTTACAATAGGATTTGTTAATAAATGTTTAATTTTTGATATTAAGATTAGAATCACCGACTAGAAAGCTGAAAGTACAAGCTCCGCATGGTGTTGAAATTCAATCTAGAGCGGGCGATGTCATTGCCAGTTGTTTAAAAGATATGAAATTAGAATCAAAACAAGGAGCTGTAAGAACTTTTGATTAATTTATATTATATATTTGTTATAAATTTACATACTATAGCTAGTGATAACCATAAATGAATACTTTCTATTGTACTGTACAAAGTCAGATTCAAAAATTTTTTCACCGAAAAACAAATAAATCTTTAAAAACTATTCAATGTTTTAAGGCTATTCCTTTGTTTAAACTAGATGAATAATTTTTATGTGCATTAAAATGTTAACGAAATGAGAAACTTTAAACTTTTGCTATCAGAAACTTTTGCTTATCTGACAGCTCTTTCTATTATTTATAGTGACGTTTTGTTTTTCAGTAGGATAAAACAAACGAAAATAAAACATTTGAATGGCAGTATCTTAAAAACGTTGCTATATTTAATAATAAAAAAATCAGATAAATTTTATTGAATTTCATAATAAAAAGACCTTACTTTTTGTTTTCAGATTTGGTTAGATTCAGATAAAATAGAAATGAAAAACTTGAAGACAGCACTACCGACGACAAGAGGACGTTCATATCCTGGTATTTACCAATTATGCGTTTGTGAAAACGGTCGCATGTTTCTTTCACCATCTCAAGGTTTTTGCCAAGCAGACGATTTGGTGTGTAAAAATAGAAAATAAATGAAATAAGCAATCATCCGTCGAACAAATTATACAAAGAAAAAGTTCCTCCGGAATATTCCGGACGGCTGAAGATTCCATTCCAAATAAAGAAAGAAAATAAACCATATATTTGTGACACACCCGGCCTTGGTGCTAAGCTTTAAAAAGGGTTCGGAAAAGGTGCTTCCCACGTTTGGTAGAGAAGGAAAGTAAATATTGTTAAAGTTTGAAGAAAAGTTAAACGTTTGCAACTAGAGATACTAGAAGTCGAAATATTGTAAACTATGCAGAAATTGTACCAATGTATTTCTTAGGGACGAGTACAAAGTGACATTTCAGTTTCTCTGAATATTTTGAGGGCCGGTTGACAATTCCAGTGACATTTCAAGATTAAAGCAATGTAGAGGGATTTAATCTTATTTCCGATTCTGTCAGTGTCTTTTGGACCCTAGCACTTTACGAGATGTTATGGAAAGAAAGTAAACACGGCTGCAGAAAGCGACTTTTAGCATAAAATGTTATTTCAATACACATCACGTTGGAGTAGACTGTGTATAGCAACAATGATTCATCGGCTTAGCAAAGCACAACATTAAATCAGGGAACGTACTTTATTCCAAATAGTTGACACTTCGAGTGATTTACAGAGTTTTGAATATAAAAAAGCATACATTGGCTTAATAGAAAATGTTCTTCCTTTAATTCTTTTAAAATGCTTTAAAAAAACGGATTAAAATGCCAGATATTACAACTTTTTATTATATTTGGCTTTTTTGGATTACTGTATATGAAAGTTTTCTTATTATTACGCTATATTGACAATTATAAAACGAAGAAAGGAATATTTATAAACAAAAAAATCACAACATTCTACGATTAAACATCTTTCAATGTTGCAATATTCAGAAATTTTCTAAATAATTAAATATTCAATTTAAAAAAAAATGAAACAAAATCATAGTAAAAGTCATCTTGTATTATTTTTAATTTTTGATATAATTGATTTATTCATCTGCGTTTATTTTTAAACGTAAAAGCAATGCAGAATACTAATGAGGAAAAAAATTTGCTCATGATATTATTAATTTTTTAATTTTATAAATTTTTTTATTATTGTAAACTATAGACGTATTTAATTATCGTCTTCCTAATATAATGTAGTATTGATAAATATGTGATCAGCGCTTTATTGCCGTCCAATATATAAATCCTTATTAGCTGCTGTTTCAATTTGTTAAAGGAAAAAAAAAAAAACGTTATAGAAAAATTAGAGTACGAAAATAATTTCTGATAATGTGCATAAAATTTAGCTTTAAATATTAAAATTAATTGTTATTTAAAAAATCAAATAAGCATCTGGAAAGCCAAACTATAACGAAAATTATATTGTTAAATATTTTATATGCTAATTAGGTTTTAATATTTTTAAGCATTTATTAAATTTTAAAATATAATAAATTTTAAGTTTAATTGACTAATCACGAAAATTAATCGTTAATAATACAAAAATAAATAAATAAATAAATTATCGAAAAGATTTCTTAACAGAAATGTATGGAATTTCAGAAGTCTTCACCCTTTGTACAGGTGTGATGACCATTTTATATAGTTCTATACAAATTTTTTATTACGTTTCCGTTAAGAAAACTAATTTTAAAAATCAAGTAACATGCAAAAATATAAATATATATGTATATGTATAAATACATATATTATTTTAGTTCGTTACATGAAAACAAATAGCTCTTGTTAGAATCACCTATTTAAAAATATTTTTATTGAAAACTCAGTCATATTGTATTAATAAATAATGTAATTTTTGATAAAAAAAAATGTTGTAGTCAATTTATTTTATTATTTTAGTTATATAATTTTTATAAGAAAAAAAAATTATAATTATTAAAATCTGGAAATGATAATTCTAATGTATAGAAGATATTTTCTTTTTCTTTTTCTTTTTTTTTGTTTTCTATTTAAAGAAAACATAAACTTTCTATAACAAATTTTAATGTCCTGTATAATTAAATGCAGATGACAGAATTTTATATACTTCCATGCCAAATGATATGCGTTTAATGTCGTTCACTTCAGTTCTCAATTATTAGTCGCATTGTATCTAAACATCATCAGAATTTCAATTTTGCAATTGGAAAGTATTGTTATCTATTAAACTTTAAATGTTCTCGTAAATTTATCAAACTTTTATATCATTAGTAAGTAATTTAGCTACACAGTTTCATAAACAACATCGGAAAAATAAAATAAAAAGACATTGTAACTAATTCGGAAAAATACTATTCTCATTTTTTTCCCTGCTTTTATAAAGATGAGTTATAAATTACGCAATCGATAAATATTGTACATTAGTTTATTAAATCAAGAAAAATAAATCAAAGCTTATAGTATTAAAAAATGAGGTAAAGGAAAAAAAAGTAATAAAGAAATATTCGCATTTATATAGTTCGAATGTTTTGCTGTATTCTTTGTTTTTATTGCTTCTGGCAAATATATCTTTGTTATGTTTAAGAATAGGTAGAATGTGTGTGTGTGTGTGAAATGGCAAAGTAGTTCCGAAAACTCATTTCACTGCTGTTTCTACTTCTCAACATTGTGCCTTCGTTATTATAAACAGACTGAGTTTGTGTAGAAGTGACAATAAAATTGGATGTTTGAATCTATCTTGAAGAAGCAAGGAATATTTTCTACGCGTTTTTCTAAAGTTAATAAAAATCCAATTGTAAATTTTTAAATAGTTGTTATTTTATTTCATATCATTTAAAATAATACACGAAAATTATTAAATCATTTATTTCTTTTTTGGTTTTTATTGTTAAATTATTATTATTATTATTTCTCCTGTAAGAATCCAATAATAACACGAAAAAAAATTATTTTTTATGTAAGGTTATATTTAACTTTTACATTTAATGACTGTTTTTTATTTCAACGAAAAAATTAAAATAAAAACATAGTTATAGAATATTATATTAAAAATTAATAAAAATTATAAATAAGAAAATATTTAATCATAAATTTCGAACTTTTAATTGAATTAATTATCAAATTTAAAGAATAATTTAAATTTTGAGTTTCTTATTAAAATAAATTTTACGTATAGTTTATTATTTTATTTTAAATTAAATTATTAATAAATTCCATTATAATATTTATAAACGTCATTATTATTATTATTATTTAAAATAATAGAAGTGTATTTTACCCACGATAGAAAATATTTTGTGAATGAAAGCACCACGTTTAACATTGTTTCATATGGAAGAGCACAAACATTGATGTCTGTTTAAAGGGGCAATTTTTTATTGAAAAATGTTTGACAACATGGGATTTCCTTTTTACATTTTTTATAGTTACCGTATTTTTATCTTTTTTTTTCCTTAGAACATTTTTTACCTTACACTTGAATACAGAATTGAATTTGAAATCTCTTTATGGAATAGAATTATAGATCAAAACTATAGCCACGATATAAAACATATATTCTCTTTATAAACAAATTTAAAAGGATTTCTTTTATTCACAATAAATATTATAATTTTTAAAAATGTATTTATTTATAATTAATAAATATCAAGACTTCTTATAAATATAATGAATGTTTTAAAACGTTATTAAAATGGTTAAACATCAGAATGATTATAAATTTGATAAAGTTTTTAATATGAAATATATATTATAACAAGCTAAAAAATGTATAAGTTAAGAAAAATCCCGAAATTTATTACCATAAATTTACTTAAACTGTTTACAATAAATTCAAATTTTTCTTATATAACGTAAAGAAGAAGAAGTAAGAAAAAATAGTATTCATGAATTTTAAGTGAAATTTATTTTTTGCTCCTCAATAACACATTTAAATCAAAATTCTAAAAAAATCTAAAATTAAATTTTGATATAAAATATACAGAATAAACTTCGCTTGAAAAGATTAAACAATATAATAGCGTATATATACTTTATAACAAATTTTGAAGTGTGATAATCAATCACATTTTTCTTTTTTTTATATGTCATAAAGCTATATAGATGATAAACATCTGTATAAATATAATTATACGTAAACATTTTCTTATTAAATATATAAAATATTGCTTTATAAAGTCTTTTTTAATGTATAACTTAAGGGCCAACGTGTTTGTTTATTGTCAAAAACATTGAGTATTTAGACATGAATGATTACATTAAAAATATTTTTTCCTCTTAGTTGGCAAATAACAAAACGTATCTAACAATGAAAGTTATTTTTTACTTTAAGAATGTCTCTAGTAAAGTAAAGAACAGTAACATTTATTTTCTCTCCGAATTTTTTTTTTTTTCAATACGGAAATGTTATCAACAGTCGATAGACTTTTCTATGCAATTGCTATTCACAGATTGCAGAGTAGCCGAAAGTGAATTCAATTAAATCGTCACCATGAATATAAATGATCTTCTTCTTCCTTTCTTATTTTAATACAATAGTTATCAATGAAAGAATTAAAATAAGATAAAGAAAGAATTTAAATATTTGACAAATTAAAGAAGGGGAAAGAATTCTTTATTTATATTTTCATACAGGATCTACACACAATAGATCTATATATGTATAAATATTTGTTTTTTTTAATATGACGATTGTCAGGATTTTGTAGATCCACAACAACATTGATTAAAATTTATAACAAAAACATCATCGATATCAAATATAATACAATTGTTAAGACGGTTTCAATCAACGACGGACTAAAATTATAAATATTGCTAAGATATGTTCAAGTACTTGTACTGTTAATCCCTATTGACTCATTTTGTTTTAAAATCTTAACGGTTTCTTGATCGATATTTCAATGGGAGCAGGAACGTCTTAAATAGAAAATCTACCATTGTCGATGATACGGGCTTCGGGCTTTTCGTTACAAATGCTTTCTTTTGTTTGGCAGTGGCTTTCGCGCATAGCTAAAAATAATCGGCCATTTTCACACATGCACATCTGATAAACACGTTGAAACCCGTGATCTCTATTAAACGATCTCGTCACTTTTAAATTTTTCATTTCCAATTTAGAAGTGTCGAGGATTACCTGCAAAGAAAAAAAACAAATAAATAAAAATTAACGTCTCCGATTCTAAAATAAACCTTATATAAAATTTATTTACTTAAATTCAATTGAATTCCTTTAAAATTACTAAATGTGATAATTGCTAATATTATTTTCTGAAAGCATTATATAATTAAATGTCGACTTTTCATGGTATTTCGAATATTCATACAAACTATGGTTTGATAATGCTTTTAATTCGGTAATTCTTGGATTTGAACAGCTGTAACACAATGTAAATTAGTTCTTGATGGAATATGTTATGAAATATATGTAGCAAATGATTCATTTCAAATTCTTGTTTGACGGTCTACTCCATCTCGCAGTGACAAATGAAAATATGATTTCCATCGAGTAAAGATTATTAATATCCATTTAAGTCTTTTGTTTAATAAATATCGCTATCCAATTAATAATATAGTATATAACGGATAGGATAATGATAATTTTGAAATTGAATTAAAGTAAATGCACTTTAATATGCTTAATATTTTTGAATACTACTTATAAATCTTTAAACAAAAAGAATAATTTTGTAATTTAATGAATAAATACATTTTAAGAGAATTCATAAACTTTTTTTCTTAACTCAGTTAAATAAAATTCGCTAATAATTTAATTTTAGCTTAAAATAGAACACACGAAAACGACAGACAGTTTTAAAATCTTATTTTATATCAATAGAAACTGTGCAGATTAATATAATATAAAAATAAATAATCAATTAAATAAAACAAAAAGAATAATCTGTCCTAACAAGTTAAATCTCCTTGTTCGTACGTTCTAATGACTATTGTTATTTATGTAATCTCTCAAGCAATTGAAGTTTATATTCATTATATATTTATGTCGCTAAATTCTCCTTATTCAATTTATAATTTCTAATTATTTATAATAAATATAAAAGCAAAATAATATTATAATCTTTTAGTAATTACAGCATAATTTACTATGTAAAGTCACTGTAATAATTCCTCGTCGAGATTCATTTATCATAATTACAGACTACAAAACAAGGTATCAAATATAGAAACTTATCTGTTAAATAAAAATTTTAAAATTTAAAATTAATAATTCGTTTTCACAATTTTAAAAAGATTTATCAAACTTAAATTACTTCATTCTTTTCATTCGTATGAACTTAACATTGTTTATCTGTTATATTAACTAAATCTATAATCCATCTTAGAGAATTTCTGTTAGGTAAAGAGTATAATAATGCGCCTTTCGCTCTCATAGGCAATCTCATTAAGCAATACGAGATATAATATGCAGTTGTAATATCAATGAATTAATAGTTCAATAACAATATGAGAATTGGTAGAGACTGATAAGGGTAAACGGCATCTGTTACGTATTATCTAATACAGTATTATAATTTATCCACTGAGATAGACGTAAGAAGTNAAATTTAGCGCACTAAATTTATCAGATTTACGTAAATTAATAATCTTTATTCAATTCTTTTATATTATTTTAATTCGGCGTATAATTTCTAACCACAAAAATCATTCAAAATTATTATAAATTCATATAATTTCTGCAAGATTTCACGGAATAGCGTGAATTTCCACTCTATTGCAATAATAATTTGCAATAACTTAAACAAATACATTATTCACTAGCATGAAACGTGAAGATTTAATTAATCTATTGAATAATATGATAAATCGATTTATTTCTTTACATGCCCATTGCTACTGGTAGTTTTATTATGTTTTATTTCGATAAATAAATAATAATGTATGTAGATGGAAAGAGGAGAGCATATAATGGAGAAGCTAAAAATCGAATCTGTTCTGAATTATTACAAAGAGAAACATCGATATCAATGAAAATAACCTTAAATTCAATTTATAGTTTCTAAAAATAGCGCGTAACATAAATTTTATTGATTAAATGATATGGTTAAATTCATCTTATTTTAATAACAAATTCAAAATAATTAAATATTTAAAAACTGTTTAAAATCCTATATATAAAAGAGAATTCGTGTCTCCGTTCTGTAAAATTTATATCATCAATCATAAAAGTAGAAGTAATTCGACTATTACTCTTCCTTCTGTGGACTGCAGTTTCATATCTCGAAGGCAATTGGCATTCATTTCTCCAACTCTCGATTCCATCTCGACTTTGGCATCTCCTCGAATATCTAAAGTTTTCATTGGCGATTCTATCCTGAAAATAACGAAAAACGATAATGTTATTGTACTTTATAGAATATAATATATAAATTTTTAGATATGTTTTCACATTTTTAATAAGAAGTAAACATAATTTTATATATTGTTAATTGTAGTTTAAATTGTTATTTTTTAATTTAAAAATTAATTATTTATTAAGATACATTACATAAGATGTAAAAAATGCACTTTTATGAAGATAAATATCTTTAACTCGACAAAGAATTTTCTTATGTATGAAGTCAAGCGAAAGTTCCATTAGTTAGAAAGCAATAGCTTCATTAGTATGCCAGATAAATTGATTTGTTGCCGCATCGAAAGAACAACAACAAGTAAGAAATTTATTTCTAAAACATTAGTTTAGTGCATGAACATCTTTCGTTCTCCTATTTTCTTATCAATTTTCTGTACACCGTACGAGAGAAGTAACTTCCCCCGAGTTTCACGGTTCCCATTAGACCCGAAAGCGATGATAGATATGTAACACTAAAGGTTCCTTTGGGACCGAACGATGTAACCAGCGAGTGCGTATGTGCTACGAAAAATGGATGGAAGGATTATTTGACTAATGACTGGTGAATTACAGAAATGGGACTTTATATCTTGTACAAGCAGTGATGTGCGCTTATGCAGAGAACTGATGGAGGGATTTATCTTCTGCATAATGGCATGAAGAAACCGAGTGCAAAGGACAAGGTGCATTACTTTTTGGTAATGTTCTTTAGATGGTCGATGAATTACTCAACAACGGTTTGTTTTGTTTGATGTCTTGTATTCTCTGCACATTCGCCTTTAAATTTACTATCTCATATATTAAAAAGTCTCTACATTCTAGAAATAATATTAATTTAATCGAACGCGTTTTTTCCTTTCCAATGATTTGAATTTATTCATTTCTCTTTCACTGTTATGCAAATGAAAGCAGTTTCTTATACAGAGAATTTATTTCAACGATTTTGATTTAATGAATTTTTTATGAAAAATATTTTTTAAAAATTTTATTGAATTCATTTTATATAAAGTATATATATTTAAATAAACATCTTCGTTAATTCAAATAAAAGTCTTTTTTCCCCACAAATATCAATAAAAATTCGATAAAAAAGTTTATCAAAATAAATTTATTTAAGAAATGCATCTTTTAATTATGCATGCCTGATAATTTAAGTTTCTAATAAAAATTAGTTTGAATTTTTAAGTCAATAAAATTTATGTTTAAGCATATTTAAATGCATATTTTATTATTTTAAATACCTCGTTGTTTACCTTAAGTCTTTAGTAGAACTTCCACGTAACAAAGTTGTTTGCAAAGATCCTTCTAATCTAAATCCTCCCGATTCTGTTGAAAAGTTTTAGCATTAATTAGTTAAAGCAACAGTTTATTTTTAAAGTAAATATTATATAAAAATCGTCATATTAAAATTTCTTGGCTTTTTTAATATATATATTTACAAAAGGAAAAAAAGACTCAATGCAATCATTTAATTGCATAAAAACCTGCAGAAAAGATATAATCTCGGATCAATTAATTGTCGCATTTACTGGTCAGTCTGACGAATTTGGATCACAAATTGGATTACGTACTGTACCTGATACTCTTAGGCCGTTGGCTGACATAACAACTTCTTCAGGTTCTACGTGGAATAATACGCCTCTAACGTTTCCTCTAACTAAAAAATGCTTTCCTTTTGCTTCTAAAACCGAATTTCCTAAAATGGTGAATAATTAAAAATACATTTAAAGTAAACAAAAACTTTGAATATTAATAGAACAAAACTTAAAAAGTAAATATTGTATATGTATAGAGATTAATACGAAATTTTATTCATGATTTATTAAAAGTAAAAACATATCACGAAAACAGATTTACGTAAATTAATAATCTTTATTCAATTCTTTTATATTATTTTAATTCGGCGTATAATTTCTAACCACAAAAATCATTCAAAATTATTATAAATTCATATAATTTCTGCAAGATTTCACGGAATAGCGTGAATTTCCACTCTATTGCAATAATAATTTGCAATAACTTAAACAAATACATTATTCACTAGCATGAAACGTGAAGATTTAATTAATCTATTGAATAATATGATAAATCGATTTATTTCTTTACATGCCCATTGCTACTGGTAGTTTTATTATGTTTTATTTCGATAAATAAATAATAATGTATGTAGATGGAAAGAGGAGAGCATATAATGGAGAAGCTAAAAATCGAATCTGTTCTGAATTATTACAAAGAGAAACATCGATATCAATGAAAATAACCTTAAATTCAATTTATAGTTTCTAAAAATAGCGCGTAACATAAATTTTATTGATTAAATGATATGGTTAAATTCATCTTATTTTAATAACAAATTCAAAATAATTAAATATTTAAAAACTGTTTAAAATCCTATATATAAAAGAGAATTCGTGTCTCCGTTCTGTAAAATTTATATCATCAATCATAAAAGTAGAAGTAATTCGACTATTACTCTTCCTTCTGTGGACTGCAGTTTCATATCTCGAAGGCAATTGGCATTCATTTCTCCAACTCTCGATTCCATCTCGACTTTGGCATCTCCTCGAATATCTAAAGTTTTCATTGGCGATTCTATCCTGAAAATAACGAAAAACGATAATGTTATTGTACTTTATAGAATATAATATATAAATTTTTAGATATGTTTTCACATTTTTAATAAGAAGTAAACATAATTTTATATATTGTTAATTGTAGTTTAAATTGTTATTTTTTAATTTAAAAATTAATTATTTATTAAGATACATTACATAAGATGTAAAAAAATGCACTTTTATGAAGATAAATATCTTTAACTCGACAAAGAATTTTCTTATGTATGAAGTCAAGCGAAAGTTCCATTAGTTAGAAAGCAATAGCTTCATTAGTATGCCAGATAAATTGATTTGTTGCCGCATCGAAAGAACAACAACAAGTAAGAAATTTATTTCTAAAACATTAGTTTAGTGCATGAACATCTTTCGTTCTCCTATTTTCTTATCAATTTTCTGTACACCGTACGAGAGAAGTAACTTCCCCCGAGTTTCACGNCATAATTATTCAAAATGTTCATCAAAAAAGTAAATTTTAGACATTGGAAACGTATTTATTTTAAAATATCTATTTAAATAAAGTACAAATTTCGATTGAAATAATAAGCAAATATCTATTCAAAGATTCTCTAATGACAAGTTGTGACGAGATTTGGATGGATTCCCATTTCATAACAGTCGAACTATGACTATTACAAATCGATAGAATGCACTTGGATAAGGCTGTTGACCACAGAATGCTTGCATCTGCCAAATCTCTGTCATGTCCAAGTGAATGGAGTGTAGTGCTGACAGATGGCGGATTTACACAGTTCCAGTGTACAGAGAAGAAAGCAGATTTTCCCATCAAACTAAGACAATCTTCAACGCGAATAAAAATTGTTTTTGTGTAAACGAAAAATACAATAAATTGTAATGATATTTTGTGGCATGCTGTTGTCATTTTTTTAATATAAGAAGACAGACTGTTTTGATAGAAGCCTTATAAAAGAAATCGTTAGACGTTGGCAGTAATGCAGAAACAATAACTCTTCTGGTTAAAGGGGATTAACTAGATTCTCAGCGTGAAAAAAAAACTGTAAAGAATCTTTAAAAATATATAATTTACTCTAATGATTGGTAGTAAAGATGAATTTCAAAAAATAAAAGATTAGAAAGATACGAATTTATTTCTTCTTTATTACTTCTAAATAAGACTTAAACTGTTCAAAAATTTTTAAATGAATTCTAAATATTTATACTAAATTTAAAATTAAATACTTTAACAAAAAATTCTGATAGATAGTTGCATATGATTGTTTGTTTTAGAAAGGTAAAAATAAAAATGTAAAAGTTGTTATATTTAATTTTCTTTTCTTGGCGAAACAATCCAATTAGAATTCTGCAGTTAAACGCATTTTAGTTAATCCGATTTAGATAAATATCAAGCACAAAACAGAATTTACAAACGTTAAAAATGTTTCTCAATTATTATTCTTTTATATTGCTAATCCGCGCAATTATTGAAATAAAAATCTAGTTTGTTACATTGAATTTATCGGATTAATTACTTATTCATAATATTCTAGAGAATAAGCCAATTTTAAAACAGCTTATTCTTAAAGTTCGGCGAAAAATCTTATTAAAAAACTAATAAAAACGTATTTTATTTTATAATTTGTATATTTTAATAAATGAATTAATCCGAAATAAACTATTTGGAATGATTATTTGAAAAGGAAAAGTATAAAGTTTGATCATTCATTTTAATATTTTTGTGCCTACGGGAAGAGAATGGGCGACACATTAACGAGGTCCAGATTATGGATTTTGCATGGCTGGAGGAGATTGTTAGCCACAAACAACCAAATTATCCACCACACGTTTGTTAAAGGACTGAAGGAAGCGCGTTTCCATCAATAGACTTAATAAAGCCACGACATCGATTTGGTATCTGCAGAGATGATGTCCGTAGGGGACGTAATAAATACCAGATGTGTTGTTATATTGATTAGTTATATCATTTGTGAGCTAAATCAAGATGTTGATTTGATTTTGATTTCCAAAAAATTGTTGAATAATTGTATAGAAAATTGTCAAAATTATACAAATGTGTAGCCTTAGTTTGCTTACTGCTATACTCGTAAGATAAACTCAGAATAACATATAATTTATATTTAATTATTGAAACAATAAGAACTTTACAACTATGTAATGCGTTTAATCTTCAATGTTTCCACTCCAACGATTTTTCTCAATGATAAAGTTTAACTTTATCTGATAACAATAATTTATTTTGATTATAACAATTATCTAGTTACTGCTGCTTTGCTAGTAGCTGCTAATAAAAGGTATAAATATTCATTTAATTACCGTTAAACTATATTTTTAAATTCACCCTTTTATTATATTAAGTACCAATTATCACATGTTAAAGAAAATAAAATTCATACTATGATTACTAAAAGTACTACTTAACTTAAATAAGAAAATATAACAATTTACATTTAGAAGATGTAATGAAAATCTTTCATTTTGTTACAGTTTATAAGATCTATTATTAAAAAAATTGCTTTAATGATAAAATATTATTGGATAATATTCAAAGCTAATAAAACAATCAATAAGATCAGGAAGTTTTGTTTCCTCGCATTGAACAAAGGAAGAAGAATGTTACCATCTGCAATTGACGGGAAGAAACAATAATGATTTAGCGAATGGAAACGAATGTGTTATTAGAGGAACTTCTCTGAAATGTAATTGACAAAGACCGGAAGAGTTGTTGTTGTTATTTATTTACTTTCTTTCATTTCAGCATTGACTTTTTTTATTTATTTATAAATTCCGTTTATATTCCACCACGTTTGCACATCATAAATTAAACTGCTTTGTAGGCATATGATTGAAAAAGTTTATATTCACATCAACTATTTTATTGTCGTATGGGCAACCTCATTATTCTGTTAAGAACAAAGACGTGAAAAGTCCGCTTTGCTTTATCTGCTACTTTTCTGCCATAGTAAAGCTTTTCAATAACTTTACATTGCTTCTCTTAAAATTAGGATGTAAATAGCAGACTACTTGATACTATGCTGAAGACATTTTATTCTCGTTATCGGTTATGTTTTTTTTTTTATCATTCTGACTCATTAAAATTTAATTCAGAATAGAAGTAAATTTATGATTGGAAGAAGTGTTATTCTTAGTAGACAGGTTAACAAAAAAGAAACCCCATAAAATATTTCCCATCTTCTGAGATATAGCTGGATACGGCGCTTCATCTTTTTCTTAAGATTATGGGATTTCAAGTCTATTCTAAACCATATATTACGATCTAAAAGAAGATTTAAATCCTAAATATAGCTTATGTTGAACAAAGATAAGATTCTTTTCAATCCTGAAGGAGGAATAGATTTTTAAAGTAAATATTCTTAATTAAAAAACAAACTGTGTGATAATTTTATAACATAATCTTGTTTGATTGAAGGAATTGATGAATTTGTGTACATTAGCAGAGGAAAACTAATCACGATTTACTTTGTCAATATTTTAGTGCATTCGATTTCCCTTCCCTTAGGTGGTCAATAAATGTATTGCCAAAGCTAACACAGAATAGCGATCAGAGTTGATACAATAATATCATTAATTGATGGTTACAATCTATTGAGAGAAGTCTTAGGAATGTAAATAAAGAATGAAACAAATTGCACAAGAGACGATTTTTGGAACATTCCAATAAATAGCATTACAAATAATATTTATACAAAATTCTGCATTAATAAACTAGAAATCGTTTCTGAAGTTTTAATAATTTAAATCAAGAATAAAAGTTTAATAAAATTTCTGATAAATATTCTAAAAGTAATAAAATAAATTAGTATAAATAATTATTTTTTAATAGAACAGTTTCTTAATCTTTAATTAAAAGATTATATTAGAAATAAATATGCTATTTTTATAAAGAAAATTTCATACTTTCATTTTATATTTTATTTTATTTGCATAAGATCTAAAATAAATAAAATATTTCCTTCACAAATAAAATGCCGCATTATGTAATAAAATAGAAAAGGAAAAGGTATAGTGTAACCTTAAAGGGTAACTCAGACAAATAAATAAAAATTTTTGAGCTATTCAAAAATTTAAATAAAAAAATAAAAAAAATGCTTTTCAAACTTTGTAGAAAAATACACACATTATTAAATCATTTCGTTATTTGATATAAAATAAAAAGTTCTTTTATAATTAATTTGTGATGATAAAACATATGTTTATTTAGTTAACAATTGAAAGATGTATAATATATATCAAATTTTAAAACTAAATAAGAAATATTATATACATCTATTATCTTTGTAAATAAAATTAATTATTACAAATATAAATATTTTTTGCTTAATTTAAGAAACTCTGTATGTTGATAGAAAAAAAATTGGTTAGAAAATAAAAGAATAAATCTTCTATCATTATTTATATAAATATTTTTTCTGAAATGTTTTGTTATAATATTTTAGATTTGTTGTTAAGTTTTAGCCACATATTAAGTTTTTTGTATAAAGAAAAATTAGAGAAATCCGAGTTTAAATGTTACTCCATCTTCCTGATTGTTCGTAGATAGTTACAGTTCGAGCAGTGTATTTTCCATTAGGTAGATCATCCATGCTGAGCAATCTTATTTCGAGTTCAGAATTAATATAATTTGCAAAACTGTGTTTAAAGTGTACTAACAAACCAGTCTATTCCGATTCGATTTATTTATATTCAAAGATACATTCTTATGAATTAGTAAGCAAATTTATGTTTTTACCTGTATTGAATATTCCGGTTGAGCAAACATTTCTATCTAATTTTAATGAGAAAATATTTAAAACTTTCGGTGACATTAATGGAAGAGAATCAAGATAATATTGATACAGTATGAGATAAATATCAATGTCAGATGCATAAATTTAGTTATAAGTATATAGGAAATTTTAAATATTTCTTGAAAAGCCATCTATATGCTCTACAGAAATTTATACAGGGATAGTCTGTACTAAAAACTGAGATTCTTCAACAAGTTCTCTGAAGAAGAGAGAGATTTTCTATAAAGCGGAAATTTTAATTCAATCAGATTGAAGCAGTCTATCCGCATATATATATTGATTCAACTATAACTTTAATAAGTATAAACTCCAAGTTTAGTTATCAACGACACAGTTTTGTAAGATAAGCGAACAAATGTGCGAACCAGATAACGTAATTATTCCCCTTTGGATATGCATTCGTTTGATGTGCAAATTCTCACAGAGCACAGTTACGATTTTAGATTAAATTTGATATTCGAATGCTCAGAGTTTTCTTAAAATATGCAAATAGTTATGCAAATGATTGTAAGAGCAAAATCCCAAGAAAACTTTAAGATTATTACAAGTATTAAATGTATTATTTAAAAGTTCTAATAAACCTATCACCAAAATTCATATTTTTAGACTTTAAGGAGTTTTCCTACGCAGTATTTAAATTAATCGGTTATAAATTAAGAATATATGTTATGTTAGTTAAACAAATGAGCCAATTAGCTTTTTAAAGGTCGAGCAGCTAATGCAAGAATGGCAACTCCTTATTGTCGATAAAGTCGTTAGTGAAGCAGGCTTTGCTACATCATCAAAAAAATAATATAATCTACGAGTGAGACCTAGATAAACGAGAAATGATTTAGCAAGTAGGATGGGTATTGATCGTCTACCAGTTCTACAATAACTTCTTTACCTTGCATTAATCGCCAATCCGAACAATAGCGATTAAAGCAGCCATAAATCTCTCTTATTTTTCTTACTTCTTTCTTCCGAGATGATTAAACAACTGCATTCGCTACTATTGCCTTCAAAATCAAATACATACATATATATATATAAACCAATTAATATAAGAAAAACTAAATTTATATTTAGTTTAAATGAATATCATACTATTTAAAATGCAAATATTCTTAGTGCGTTACTAATAGTATGAATACTAATTCGTGTACAATTTTAAATAATTTAACATAACTTTCTTCGTTAGAAAAACGTGTAATTATATATAATTTATCATCTGTAAATTGATTTTAAGTAACTTTTATAATGAAGTTAAACATCCTTCGACTGTGCTATAAAATGCTTTGATCTTTAAGATTGCATTAAATAGAATTAACGTAAAATCTCTTTCAGTAACTAAGGCTTTGCAATTAGTTATTGCCATTAAGAATATTCGCTGCTACAGTAATAGTTGAAAGTTTAACTTTGATATTATATTTAAGCACTTCATTTAGAATTCATAATTCAAAAAATAATTAGTTACACGGGGGAAATATATAATTACCGTAAACAGAAAAGAGTTTTAGAGTACGGATTTTCGATGTAGTGCATTTCTAAAAATAATTTGCTAGCGATATCTTTAAAGAAGCAGAGACAATAATTCAAGTCAATTTGAAAACTTTGAAACTCGGCACTTAAGTCATCCTGAGAACGATTTCAAAGTAAAGAATTATAACGATCAATTGCGTGGCGACTTTATAAGCACGCAAATCCAAGATTCACACGATGCCAGTTCCACCCACAAGCACGATCAGCATCACAAGAGGTGATTAAAGGAACCAAATTCCAACAGAAAAGAGACGTTTAATTGATAATCGGTCTGGACCACGTAATAAACGAAAAAAGGGATGTTATCCATCCAGCTAACAGTCACGATATTCTCCAGCAGTCACGCAATTGAAGTCACTTTTCTTCTTATCGGAAAATCTTGTCTTTACAATGGGTCCTTCTTTATTTAAAGATACTAGTTTTTCTCGTCTATACTTTCCATATTACTTTCTTCCGAACCGGAAACATCCGGATATTTCCTGTTCTAGTAGCGGAAATGCAACTGGAAATGATTCTCTTATTGCAAACATGAAGTTGGTGCAATGACGCTGAACAGAAGTGGATAGTTATCAAGACCGAACCAAGAGTGTTAGTAGTGGAGTGGAGAACGATATTTTCGAGTGTTATGAACTAACTTGACGAAGAAGATCGTAATGATGCGGAGCGAACAACGAAATTAAACAGTACAATGGATACTTAGATTCGTAACGGTCAATTGTCTGTTCTTTTAAGAAAAATCGATGTCATTCTAATTTTCATTCGGTCTCTTTTATGCACTATTACCTTGAATATATTGCTAAAAGCAAATCTCTTCTTGCTTTTTCCAACTTGATTTCTATAAGCTTCAGATTTTTTGCACGTCTCATTATTATTAACCACAAACTACTGAATAATTTTTTTTCTATATATCATCTTTGAAATTCTGATATAGAAGTTTACCGCATGGAAAAACTCTATTTGTTTTTAACAATATAGAGTATTGAATATTTTTATTTTAAAAAATAAAATAAATTCTTAAAAATTTTCTACTTTTCAGCGCAAAAAATAGCAAAAAAAAAACCGTCTGAAAATTGCAGTTATTAAGTAAACATATTAATAAAATATTAAAATTTTATTCCTAATTTTAATGTTTTATTTTATCTATTTATATCTGAAAAATTAATAAAATTATATTTAAAATTATTGAACCATAAAACCTTAATCCTAGTTCTACATGTCTTAAATATATCTTTACAAAATCCATTAAGTATTTATAAATTATAATTATTGATAAGTGAAAATGCATTATACTAAGTATTAGTTTAAACAATTAGTTATAATCAACTGATTATAAGCATTTTAATACTTACCAAGTGTTAGTTTATTAGTTGGATTTCCGAAATAATCAACAGCCATTAAAGAGATGTTTCCTGATGATTCTAACTTCAGAGGATGATTCTAAACGTGGAATAAACTGGTTTATAGATTATAAATCTAAACGATGTTATTAATATACAACATTAAATTCCAAATAATGATATTACGTTAAGCGATTGAATGTTAGCTGCCTGTAAAGAGTTTAGAAATTCTGTTTCTCCTTGAATTTGTGCGCCATATTTTGTAAATGTTAAACTTCCCATACCGGCCTTAAAAAATTAATCAACATATTTATTAATGAATAAATTACATGTTTTTATCTAAAATTTAAGTTATATATTTAATAATTAATAATTGTATAATCATTGGAATGTTTTTTATCGTAGAAATCCTTTACCGTTGTCAGATCCAGTACTTTGATGATCCATACTGTCAAAGCCATGTTAATAACAACAACAATTAACAGCATAATGACTAAAAGATATAGACATCGCTTTCTCCAGCCATAAATTCCTCCAGCGTAATAATTTGGTGTTAGTTTAAGGGCATCGCTTCCAATCATAGACACTTCCAGTTGTGTAGGAACTCCTAAAGATTGACCTACTGCACCATTGCATGTTTGTGGAAGAGTGCTGGCTGCTGAACATGGAGTTTCTGTTACCATAGCTATTTATCATGTATCTAAAATATAATAGTCATATTCAGAATATTTTAAATACGATCTCACTTATGAATAATGGATTTAAAAATTCAAATGAAAAGAAAATGAAACACTTTAAACTTAAGAAAATATAAAAGAAATTCTGATTGAAAAAGAGAAAAATCAATAAGATTTAGTTTCCATAAAAAGGTTTTAATAACCTTTAAAGTAATATAAAAAGCTAATGATATTTTAGGAAATTTATTAAATCATTTTTCTGTATTAAAAAAAAATCTTCACCTTAAGAAATGTTAACATTCTTTTTATTTCTGTTTAAAAATGCAGAAAATTGTTATAAATCGATTCTGATCAAATTTTATTTTCAGTAGTGTCTCTTGACGATTTTTAAAATTTTATAGGAAAATTTAGTTTTGAAAGAAATATAATAAAAGTTGAATACAATAAAAATTTAAATCATTTTTGAGGTGGATTATTTTTGAAATTTATGACGCGATCACTCTATCAAAATTTATGCGTGTATATTAATTTTGATATATTGTAAATTATGCAATATACCTTCTCGGTTATTCCTACAAAACAAACATCTTTTGCAAGGAAATTAACAAGATATATCAAAAATTAATTGAAAATAAACCGATTTAAGTATGATTTCGTTAATTTATCACATTAAATTGTGCTTTGCATCTTTAGGTAATCCTACAATTATTCTAAGATTACGTTCAATGCTTATCCGATTTATTATAATTTAAATTGTTAATATTTATATATCATTAAATATAGAATTTACAAAATAAAACACGCAAGTTTATATTAATATATTTAATATATAAATTAAATAGCTCATATATTAAAAAAAATTCTATAGCTAATAACTAAATGATATTTACCTT